TTCTCCTGAGACTCTAGCTGGCCTCAAAATCAGTTCACTTGACTCTGATTCTTGAGTTCTGGAATTAAGCCAAGAAATAAAAGATACCTAGATACCCTAAATAACCCCATGTGTCTTTCTTGAATGAATCCCCTCCCTGATGATCTCTCCCTTGCTAAAATAACCACTGCCCTAGATTTTATATTAATCATTACCTTTCTTAATACTTATTTAGGTAGATATATCTACAAATATACATACAGGTTGAATTTCCTTTGTCTTTAAATGCTTAGGACCAGAAGTATTTGAGATTTTGAGCTTTTGGGTTTTGAGATATGTATATAGTTTCCATATCATGCATCCCTAATCTAGAAATCTGAAGTGCTTCCAACACTGAAACTTCAAGTTTCAGCATAATAAAATTTTCAGATTGGGGATGCTCAAGCTTTCAGTGTCTAAAACTGTATATAACAGGGCTGGAGAAATGTCTTAGAGGTTAAGATCACAGGCTACTCTTCCAGAGAACCCAGGTTTGATTCCCAGCACCCACATGGCAACTTACAACCATCTGTAACTCAGGTTCCAGGAGATATAACACCTTTGGCCTCCATGAGCACCAGGCACACACAGATATAAATGTAGGCACAACACCCATACACATAAAATATAAATACATCTTTAAATAAATAGTTTGTGGTTGGAGAAATGGCTCAGTGGTTAAGAGCACCAGCTGCTCTTCCAAAGGACCCGGGTTCAGTTTCTAACACCCACATGGCAGCACAACTGTCTGTAGCTCCAGTTCCAGGAGACCCGGCACCCTCAGACATGTGTGTAGGCAAAACACTAATGCTCATAAAATAAAAATAAATGAATTAAAAAATAGTTGTATAGAAGCTGAGGAAGGAGGATTATGAGTTTGAAGCCAGCCTGAGCTACATATAATAAGAGTTTGTATATACATATGTTTGTATGTATTCATAAATAGTAATAGCATATGAATATAGACTGTTCTCTCTATATGAGTTCCTCATTCAAACACTCAGCCAATACAGTTAGAAAATACTTGGGGCCAGGCAGTGGTAGTGTATGCCTTTAATCCCAGCACTCAGGGGTCAGAGCCAGGCTGGTCTACAGAGTGAATTCCAGAATAGCCAAGGCTACACTGAAAAAACCTGTCTCAAAAAACCAAATTTAAAAAAAAAAATAGAGAAAGGAAGAAAATACTTGGGGTCAGAGGAAATAGGTAGGGTTCTAACTTAGTCATAGAATTCTTGCCTGCCTACTATGCATCAGGCACTAGGTCCTACTCTCTGTGCTAAATATTGATGCATCATGTTTCTGTTGAAATAAGGAGCGGCGGGGCTTTGTCCCTGGCACCCCGGCCGCCTGCTAGCTCATGCCCGAAATAACAACACACAAATTGTATTCATTTAAAGACTGCTTGGCCCATTTCTGTCTAGCCTCTTCTAGGCTAATTCTCGCACCTGGACTAGCCCATTTCTAATAATGTGTGTAAGCACCCCAAGGTGCGCTTACTGGGAAGATTCTAGCCTACGTCCATCCTGGGTCTGAGCTGCCTGGGAGAGCGGAGCCTGGCGTCTCTGCTCCAGAGAGCAGAGCTGTCGAGTCTGAGCTCACTTCCTCTTCCTCCCAGCATCCTATTCTGTTTACTCCTCCCACCTATGCTTTAACCTATCAGGGCAA